GGCCGTGGGCATAAGGCAGGCGAGGCCGTAAGTGTTTTGTTGTGGATTTAGTGGTATACAGTAGATCCATCCTGCATATCTAGTTTCTCTATATAATCTGTAGGAAAATTGAGTTGCTTCAAAAGGGAAAATACAGAAGCCTGTGAATCCTGGGCATAAACACTGCACCCTAACTTTTAAAGCTGAAGCAGGCTCCAAACACTTAACAGACCCATAGAGAGAACAAATGGCTGTAGTAATCTGGGAATTTATCTGACATTTTGAAATAGGGGAGGCTCACTAGGTTAAACAAAAGGTCCTCTGGTCCACTGAATCCTGGTTATTATTTAGAGACTGACAGTTCAGCAGAGAGAACGTGGCCTCTGCCTAGGGCAGTCTGTAACCTGATGAGTAGGGTGTTCCTGCGGCAGATGAAAGATGAGGTTTTTGAACCACTTCACATGGATGAACCTCTTCTATGGATAGAGGAGCGGGTGTGAATTCACAACCTCTAGCCATCAAATGAAAGAAAGCATAGCTGTATTTTAGGCTGAGCCTAAATTTTCAGGCACACAGGAATAGTTGTACTAAGAGGACAGTCGAGGCCATCAGGCTTGATAGGAAGGACCATGCCAAATCTATGGATAGTGTTTGTTATATATATACAGTTTAAGAGCGAGTTATTTACAATATTAGCAAAACCAAAGTATTCCTTTTTGAGGATACCAGAAGTAGAACTGCAGGCACCTGTGAATTTTCATGTTCAAATGCCCATCTTTTATATACCTCTAGTGTTTGGCAAAAGTCGAGCAGGTATATCGTGAACCACAATTTTTAACTCAAGTGCTAACGTTTTTGGTGTATACGGGCTTTATACGGTGGTCTGTTCTTTAGAAAGGGGTGATATAGAGCAAAGAAAGACCTTTTACCCTCTGAAAACTGGTGTGACACTTGGTTGTTCATTGTTACCAGAACATCCTGAAAACACTGGGCATCTTACGCAGTGTAAAGAGTAATCAAAATTGCAAAAATTATTCCTGACCCATAGGCTTTTCCACAGCTGACATTAGCAATATCAACTATCTTGCTGGAGAAAGAAAAGGAGACTTTTTTTCTCAGTATGATTGTGGGATATGAAAGACCCACAGTGTAATAAGAAGGATTGTAAAAGCAGGTAAGGAACAAAGGAAAGAAAGAATGAAGGTTCAAAAGCAAATAGGAATGCATATTCATTAGGATATAAAGTATTTGCTTTAGATCTAATAAGCTATGTGGGTGGTTGTTACTCTGATTTTACGATGAGTTAAGGTCTTTTGCAAACCAGCTCAGTGACAGTATTCAGTCAATTTCAGAGAGTGCTGATAAGTCCCCCCCCCAAAAGGCAGGCAGCCCTTGTCAATACATAATTCACTTTCCTCATATGTCCAGTGTACAAAAACTTGTTTCCTTTGACCCTCATCACTTTACTTTGGAAATCAGTGTCAAATATGGCTGCACACCAGACTGAATTCAATTTAGATGAGTACAATTGAAATTGTTTACTTTTAACAAATTGTTTTACTTAACCATTAAGTTGTGCTAATTTTAGCTTTTTCATAGCTGTGGACTGGAAGAAGGGATACAGGCTCGGTCTTTCCTGCTATTCAGTAATCTGACTGTTTTTCTCATAGCAGCAGCCGTTGCTGGCAACTCTCTACTGATCACGAGATGCTCTTTCAACATTGGGAACTACAAGCTGAGCAAAAGTGGCTTAGCTATGCCCCTCAATAATGTAACAAAGGAGCTGCAACAAACTCAGATTTTTATCTTACTTCTGTCGTAGTAGGTGATTTATGTTTTTGTTTGTTTATTACATTTTGCAGTGACTTCCCCTGAACCCTTAAAACCCTTTTTCTTCTTTTTAGCAGCAGTAATACATCACACTGAGAATCACTGCCTTTGGACACTACTCTAAATGAAGGGTGAGTTGGAAGAGAATCTAAAGGAGACCATCAAGAACAAGCAGAGATTTTGGAAAAGTGTTCTATAAAGGTAATGAAAAAGGGCTGGCAATTCTTTCTTCTAGAGCCAATTGAGGGGGAAAATAGAATCTGTATGTAAAGAGTTGCTGCAAAGAGGACATGGTGATGGGAAAATGAGTGTTTGGCTTGCATTGCAGCAGAGGAGATTAGGTCAGATACTGGAAAACACCTTAATGGTAAGGCTAATCAAGTGCTGAAAGAGAGCACTACCAGAAATGGTGCAATTTCCATGAGTGGGCATGGGTTAGATAAACATTTCTCAGGAATGTTTTTAGTTAGCATTGGTTCTGGCTTGGACAGAATGGACTAGAAGACCTCTCTGCTTTGTATGATGCTGGTATCTTAAATCTGCTTATGAAGATGTGATGTTTTTATACATGCAAGGAAAAATGCTCATTCTCAAATGACAGTTTTGCATGTGTAATTTTATTTCTAGCTTATAAACAAGTGTTCATGAGCTGAATAGAGCATCAGTTTACAAAATAAGAAACATTTTCTCATGTATACACTGCAAATCACACAAATTTGGTAGAGAAGCTAAGCCTAGACTTATATATTAGTCATTGTATTCACTGTAAAGAAAAGATTGTTTGTTTGTTATGTAGCCTTGTGGCTCATTCATTTTATGACATAAAACGAGCATTATCGTTGAACAATAGCATAATGTAAGCAGAATACAAGTGCTGTAACACAAGTGCCTTCTAGCTTACATAGAAAAACCTCAGCAGCATAATAATCACTAGCAAGTCCTATAGGACTTCTTCCATCTAGAAATAAGTTCGATTGTATATTGCAATATGTAAGTGCAGT